AGACTGCATCTGCATGCTATGAATTTACGAAACCTCCATTCCTTATTGAGAACCCGTTCTTACATGTACGTATATTAAATAATGAATCAGAGAGCACAACATGTGAGACAAGTCTTGATTGAGATTTAACTTTTCCTTTAGGATTATATGATAAATAAAAAAAAATTATGCATCTGATAGATACTTGTACCACATATAAATGTATACATTTTTCTTTGTAATAGGAATCTTTAATTGAAAATTGAAAGTGAAGAGATTTGGTAATAGATCTTGACAAATGACAATTCTTTCCTAATCACCATATAGCTTTAAACTACGCCCCCCTTCAATGATCTCATGCATTCTTTTTTCTTTCTTTTTTTTTTGCTTATATGATGCACGTATACGTTGCATCAGGGGGTCGGGGGTGCGCCCCCCCATTTTTTCAAATATAACTTTTACTATTGAAAATGTTCATTGAAAGGCCGGTCCCCCACTTTTTTCATGAAGTATAGTCAAAAAGGGTAATGTAGTAGTGTATGGAAAAAAAAATTAGTCCTGAAAGACGTTCGATCCTTTTAGCCTGTCACTAGTGTCAGATTGGGATTTTTAAAAACTGAATTTCACACAAGAAATCACTGACTTCTTAGTTAAGTTATAGTGCAAACAAACGACTGAAGCATCTTGAACTCAAGAAGGGTGGGTGGGGTGCATTACTATAGAATAAACAAGGGGCGTGACATCGTCTCAAGCTACGGTCCGGAGTCCGCAAATAGCTCTCTCTTACCCAGAATGGGAGGGGATCGTACATTTTGGCCGTGGTTTGCGACAATGAGGGCGTGATAAGAAAGCATGATATAGCTTTAAAAGGGATGGGATCTTCGGTACTATTACCATTACCTATGATGATATATACACAATGACATCTAGATCTACACGCCAAGAATAGAGCTTGAGCGACAGCTCAGCTCTAAAACATGTACCTTCTTTTCGGTATAATCATAGAAAAAGTATTATTTGGCAAATCCTTGCAACAAAGCATAAACACCATATTATTAAGCTTGCCGTGTTACTAAAATTACCCCATCAATAATCCACGAACATATATTAAAACGAATATAAATATCTGTAGAAATTGAAACGCTTTTGGAATTAAAAAAAATGTCGGAGTTTCGTATTGCTGCACTTACGTTGAACATGCCATTTGATTGTCAATCTCTCTATGTATGCCAGGACAGATATCTCTACATGTTATACTTTTATAGCTCATGCTTTATATGATCTGCAGTATCTTAAGTTTAATTGATTGAATACCTCGGAGCCTGTTTATAGAATGTCTAAAGGGAAAAATCATAAAAAAAATTTGAACGACTGTTGCAATACTCTGCATTAAAAAATGTAATGTTCAATGTGCTACAGAATGAGCAACGAGATCGGTTCTACATTGTTCAAAAGGCACGGTGCAGGGGACACGCGAACCAATTTTCCTTTGTCCGGGGGGTCTCAATATTTGGCAGCAGTATTTTGAACCAGGTTCAAAAAATTACAGCTGGGATTCAAAATTACACCTGAATCTCGTATCACTACTAGTCAAAATTTAACTTATTAGAATATTATGATTTTTTTTTTATTTCTGATTTTCAGATGAAATAAGCATAAGTGATAAAACACGGAAACTGAACATATTTCTTTATTTATAATATGGTATGCGATATTGAATTTGATGTGAATGTGTATAGTACATGTAATGCAGCTTTACTCCTGTTTACTAAGAAGACTTCAAGTAAGCAAATGAAATATATAGATAACGAACAGTATTCAAGCTCAAAAGTCCATTAAACAATACAAAATAGGAGCAGAGCAAACACGGACCTCTAAACATCAGAGGTGGGATCAGGTGCCATGGAGGAGTGAGCAACCCCTGCCAAACGGTCACACCCGCCGTGTGCTCCTTGTTATGATCAATAACGGAAAAATCCGTCGACAATTCAGTGTGTAAATAATGGCCTAACAATTAGTATGAAAAACGTCAGTCAGCATTTGACTCAATGATAAATTGTATTTGCTGACAAGGTCATTGTATCGACCATAGAACTTACTAAATGATGACTTTAAACGAGACTGCTGATATTCTTGTTTCATCAACTTGTTTGTCAATAATTTACCTCGTTTAAGAAATTGTTCATACGTAGAGCATGCTCTTGCGTATCTAATCAACTGAGAGATATATACCCCGTATGCAGGTGATGAAGGTATATTGCTGCATAAGTAAGGGAAGTTGACGATTGAAAAGTTAAAGTCATCACGTTTATCATAAAGCTTGGTTGTTAGATTACCATTAACGTCTTTTTCAAGTAAAATATCCAAATATGAAACAGATGTGTCAGACTCTGTGGTATCTTTTATCTCAAGCTCACGAGGATATATCGTATCGACATAAGAATGAAAATAGCCATTGTTAATTGACAATACATCGTCGATATATCTAAATGTCGAGTTGAAGGCCACGGCAAGTGTTTTCTTCTTTTCACGTACAAGATTTTGGACAAATTCTGCTTCATATGAATACAAAAAAGGTCTGCTAATAACGGGGCGCAATTGTTACGCATGGGAATTCCAATAGATTGTTGCTGGTCAAAAACCACATAGATATTGTCAATCAGAAACTCAAGCATCTTTTTAATGTCAACTTCAGAGTACTTGTGTGTACAATCAGAATGTTTTTTAACAAAATAATTTTGCAAATGACCAGTGACAAGGTAAGTATATTTACGAGTTTCATTTTTATTGAAAAAGCAGCTGTCAATTATATCAAAAAGCCTGGACTTTAATTTATCGTGGGGAATGGTTGTGTATAAAGTAGAAAAGTCATAAGTTTTTAAGCTGTTGATTTTGGTAAAATCTTGCGATTTCAAAATTTCCAAAAGTTCCTTGTTTGTAAGGATTTTTATGAAGCAAAGAAACCTAAAGACATTGACATGTTTATGCCTCCGTAATCAAAGATTCGGGGTCATAATTTTTTTGCCCTGTCCGTTTATCTGTCTGTCTTATTTTCACTTTGTCAGCAAAAACTTAAACCTTGACCATAACTTTCAATTGGTTGGAGCTGTGGTTTTCATTTGAAATTTCACATGTGTATTCCTTGTGACAAGACCTTTGTTCGAGTAACAACATATTTTACCTCTTGGCCGTTTAGATTGACCCACTTTGCAAAATTTTACCAAACTTTAAATTGGCCATAACTTTTGAACAGTTGGTGTTAGGGCTTTCATACTTCTCATCTGAAATTCTTTGTGACAAGGCCTTTCCTTGTGCCCTTGACCTTGGGTTTGACCCACTTTGAAAAATTGTTTTAACCTTGGACATAATTTTTGAATGGTTGGTGCTAGAGTTTTCTTATTTTTACATGTGCATATCTTGTGACAAGACCTTTCTTTATGTATCAACATTTTTGCCATTTGTCTTTGACGTTGGAGTTTGACCTTTTTTTTTTAAAAAAAAGTTAACCTTTCCATAACTTTTGATTAATTGGTGCTAGGGCTTTCATATTTCAATGTCTATTTCTTGTTACAAGACCTTTTCTTTGGGTACCATTATTTTGACCTTGATCTTAACGTTAGAATTACGTTTCAAGAAAACTTTAACCTTTGCCATAGCTTTTAAACAGTTAGTGCTAGGGTTAACATATTTAACAGTTATATTCCCTGAGACAAGATCTTTCTTTGGGAAGCATCAGTTTTATATCTATTTACATTGACCTTGAAGTTTGATTTGCATTTGAGAAAAGTAAATCTTTGCCATAGGCTGCCATACGGGGGCATCAGTGTTTCACAAGCACATCAATATTCAGACTGGACATAAACATTCACAATGAATCTTTAAATCATTGTGTTGAACCTAATTAACTCTTTTGACTCAATGTTTGGTCTGAAAGAACATGGCTAAACTTATCCAGTCAAAAACCCACTGATTTGGATTGCTCATAATCAGTGAGTGTCATGGCCTTGATGCAAGGTCATTTTGGACAAGTTCAAGGTCACTGACAGAGAAAATGTACCGTCTTTCTACTAGTGAAACATTGCTGGTATCATGCAGAGTGTGACATGGCCTTGACTCATGTTCAAGGTCACTATGGATAAGATGTTTTGACTGGATATATGGATTAAAAGAACAAATGAATTTGTCAAGTCGGCAACACACAGATGGGGTTTGCTCATAACCAGAGTGTGTCAATGCCTGACGGAAGGTCATTTGGACAAAAGTCAAGGTCACGTTCATTCATTTACTGTCTTTTTACTATATTGCTAGATATTGCTAGATTGCTTATAACCTTAAAGTATGGCATGACCTTGACTCAAGGTGACTTCTTCCTGTCCGCAGCTCCAACGGAAGACCTGCTCGTTGCTTTGCAACGAGCTCGGCTCTAGTTGGTAATTATTTTTACAGAAACTTTGTGAAAAATACAAGAAAAAAGTCTATGCTAAGCAATTTTCAACTGATGAAACATTTAAAAGTCATGAATCCAATTTTGGAAAATCAATTTTATCCATTTATCAATGAATATTATAATTTATTTTCCTTTCGAGGAACTGTTTACTTCGGAAGGGTTAAAATTATCTATAGCTCTTTGCTTTTTTAAAGCAGCATAACAAAGTCATAAGAAGTAAATACAATGAAATCAAAAAAGGTCACCTAAAATTTCGTGCGGGCGATCATGATAACTGTATTGGTTTTTTTGAGTTAAAAAAAGGCACATTCGTGGGTCTCTAAGAATGATACTTAATAAGCAATTAAATTCCTTGATTTATATAAAACTTATCTTCAATACTTTTAAACATATTGAGATACTAGTCTTATCTAAATATTGTACGTCTTAGCAGTTTATGTTTACTATAAACCTATTTGACAGCATGGTGGAAACGGTAGAGTTAAACATTCAAAATCTAAGGAATGCAAAAAAGTTTCCCAAGTTATTATTCATATTTTTATCAAAATGTCTCTATATTCTGTAGAGTTCTTACTTGTGGGACATTTCTCCATGTAATATCTAGGTTTACATAATCCAGGACAGGATTCATTGATATTAGGGCATGCCTCATTTCTTTCACAATGACCACATACCCCTTTGCAGTCTTCGCCATATCTCCCAGGACTACACACTGCAAAGATATTTGAAAGATGAAAACTGTAACAAGATGAAACTTTCACATTCAGTCATGTAAACTGGTGACTGCAGAGTCTGGAAAGGTGGCTAATTGTAGAACATTTTTTCCAGCGTTCACTAAACTTTCATTCAAATTTCAGTACACTGTGTTAGCATAGTTTCAGCTACTGTGTATTCCAAATACATCAAATTACATGTTTTCTTATTCAATAGGGACACATACTTCAGACTATTTTTTTTTTGTTGCTCCACGAAAAAGTCAATATCGTTTAATATCAACTGTACAAATAAGGTCGCTTTTATTAGCAAAAATAATAAGCAACGATGAAATAACTCCACCGCTATAGAAATAACCCATGTATTCGTTTATTAAGTTCACTATTTTCTTCTTATTTTTATAGAATGTATAATGTTCAATAATCCTCAAATATAGGAGATCGACAAAGAGACTAAGAAAAATGTTCATAGTTTTACAAATAACAAAGCAAAGAATTAAATTATACTTGTTACAAAATTCTCTTTGATATTCATTTAACTTTATCCTATACTTTACGTAAAATTTCCACAATTTGCAACATTATCAAAGATTTAAAATTTATCTAAGAAATAGCATGCGCCCACCAAAGAGGGCAAACAGTGATACTTTCTTCATACTATAATACATTTTTTTCTATATAAGTGGGTTATCACTCAATATATTTTAAAGACTATCCTCAAGCTATGTGGGTACATACCTCTAATTATTTTTAGAATCGGTAGTAAAAGAAGGTAGTGCATAAAAAATATTACAAATTCCTTAATTTGCAGACTTGAATAAAAAATTTGTGATAATGTACTAAACTGAGTCTCATACTTGTTGAAACGGAGTATGTTCCATTATAAAATAGCTTGAAAAATGCAAATTATCAAGAGGATTAGCAGATTTTTTTTTTAGTGAGAAATCTGAAATTCCCCTACTTTCATTTTCATTTTCAGAGGTTTATGCAGACAGACGCATTTTGCGGGAAAACGAACTGACATACTATCTCGAAATTTTAACCACGGGAAGACAACTTGACGTGCTTTGATTTTAGGGTCACTCACTGCTGAAAGAAAATTAGGGGCATTGCTATATGAAGAAACGTAAACATTGTCGCCTATTGGAAAACAATAATTGAACTGTACCGATGGAAAAATTTGCTTAACGAAACATGGAGCACATAGCGCACTACCTGAAAATAGATTGTTTATATATATCATAGCAAGTATTTCTATAAGACCATGCAGCCAAAATATAATCTTGAAATACCCAAATTGTAGTGATATCAATTTATATTCAAATATTCAAAAACGCTTTGAAATCATTCACTTTCAACCGTTCTCCTTTTACTCGAATAGTCGAAATTTGAAAAAAAACTGGTAGATACTCTTTATATACATGTATGGGAAGTACCATTTTCTCTATCTCTGAATTCACACAGCCAAAGAAAGTTACACTTATTTCAAATCGATGTCGCCTTTGAAAATCCAAAAAAATATCAAAAACAAAAATAAAAAATCGGTTAAGACATTTACCGATTTAGATATCCCTTTCAATCGTTTTTTTTTCAAAGTACTAATGTACGTAGTCAATATATTTGCTTGTGAAAAAAAATCATTTCTGGCCTTTATTTGTTTATCGAACACTGTATGTGTAAACAAGTATGGAAACATAATACAATGAAGAGGGGGCTTTAAATCAAACTCAAAATTTAAATTGTTCAATAAAAAACTAAAGAGATATAGATGTTAACTTTGGAAATTTTTAAGAAAGTTGCAAAATATATAACAGACTAATAGAAGGGAAATGTAATTTGAATGATGCACAATTGATTTATATCGATGGCTCAAAGTCCTTTATAATCGAATGTGTACATAAATTCAATGGCAGTTTTCTTAATGAGTTTGTATGATGATTGATAAGTTACCTTTGCAAAATGGTGGATGATATCCATCTTTACAACCGTGTGTATCACACCGTCCCGTTATGTCACATTCATATTTACACATACCACATCGAGCGCATTTTTCACCATATTTATGACGTGGGCAACCTGTTATGAATATGTTGAACAGAAAATTTGTAGATTCATCATACAGTTAGAAGTTTATTTAATTTTGTTTCCTATAATAATACATATTGTGGAATGTTCTGTGTGTTTTAATGTCAAAGAAGTGATGGTAAGTTATGTTCAGTAAGCAAGCTGATCATACTTTTCACACTTGTAATGTATTGCAAAAGTCGGAAGACCCGGTAGATCCATTAAGATAAAGAAAAATAAATCTTACCAGCATTTTAAAAACATAACATACATAGATTAATAAACCTCAACAATTCCAAACAATAACTTTTATCGTTTAAATATTTAAAAAAAAAATACAGAATCATTTTTTTTTCATTCATATATTCATAGGTAAAGAAATATAACATTAAAGACATGAAATATTAAAATTATTAGAATTACGTTTGCATGTCAAAAAATAGTACTTTCTACTTTAGGAGATTTTTAAAAACTCATTTTATCCTTTTCAATGTGTATTTTAAGTGCATTGCCAATGAAAAACTGAGACTAAACAAGGGATTACTTAAACTTTTCTGTATTTGTATACTTTGTAACACTTTCTCAGAAAATTATACCGTAGATCTCCACTTCACAGATCTCCAGAATTACACCATCTTGGTCATTCGCTTGATCATTAAAAATCGTTACATATCGCGCTAGACGAGTACAGTCAACCTCAAGTACCGTATTAAGTATCTTATTCCCTGGGTCTTGATAACACGTGTACTTTTTATCTACCTCTGGCATATAAGACGCAAAAATAGAAAATCCTTTGAGTCTCCCTGAAGAAGATCAAAATAATTAAAAATGCGAAATGAAATAATTCTTTCAAAATAAAACCCAAAATAACATATTAAACCATATTTTAAATATAAAACCTTTTGCTGAACATCCAGCTTCAAATCTACTTCGTGTAGGTATTGAAAATGATTTTTCCCCGACGCTGATAATCAACAGTTAAATATGTTGCAAAGACACAAACTACTGTTTACATGTATCAACTCTCTCTATTTCCTTTCAGGTTTATCATTATAGTTATTCATATCACATTTGGAAAAATGGAAATCTTAAAGATAATTTTAAGCAATTGCAAATAATAAAATAAGTTGTAAATACATGCTGATAATCGTTTGTTAACAAAGCCAGATTCGAAGTTATTTGATTTCTCTGAAAAAGGTGGGGTTTTTTTTCCTTTCGTAGATAGAAGAAATCAACAATTAACAAGACCCTCTAAGGACCAAGACCTTACCTGTAAAGCTACCATGGATCAACATAAGAAACAAAAACAAATGAAAGAAAAGGTTTAAATTATTAGTTCAATTAAAAAAAAAGAAAGATCCTGTGTCAGGGACAGACATCCGTAAAACATTTAAAAGGAAAATAATGGATGAGCCTTGTTGAGTTGTAATCCTATTTTTCTTTGTTTTTGATCAAAGTAGAATATATGAAAGCATATTACTATTCTTGTCGCTCCTGTACCATATTTTAACGCTTTTCAAATTGAAGTAGTCTCCGAGGTCAATTCTTAACCAGGCCCTTTTCCGTCCTGGGGCTGTGTGCATGCAGTTCGTATAAGCTTGATCAAAGTTTTTGTCAATTGTTTTGTCAGCAGATCCAGAGTAAGCTCCATACTTATACATAGAACTGCTTTCCACTTTCGTTTTTGTTGTATTCACGAGCTGGTCTTTTGAAAATAAAAAGAAAGGGATAAATAAACATAGAGTTATCTACCTTAGCATTATGATTATTATGTAAGTATAATATTTATCGCGAATATTAACATAAAGATTTTTTTTTAGTTTAAGTAAAGTTATGGCAGAAGGTTTTACAATATCATATTCTTAACATACAAAAGAGAATAATTTCTTTTGGATAAATATGTCAAACCTATAATTGATAATATCACTTACTTCTTGTCAAATAAATTTAGAACGTAATTAAAGTCATAAATTGATAAAACTAAAAATTAAAGATTTAAGAATTTTTTTTAAAAGTTTTGTGTGAGTTGTGTGTAAATCGAACAGACTTGTGACGTGGGCGTATTTCATGAAGCGCGCTAGTGCTTCATGAAAAATATGCCTACGTGCAAGTCTGTCTTATTTACTCACAAATAATTTACACTAATCTTAAAAACATTCCTTATATTCATATTTTATGTGTTTAAAAGCACCAAAATTATACTAGGTGTTTGAATTTCTAGCTGCCCTACATCGTTATATTCTTATTCATGTCTCTGTAGCCTCATTGTGACGTCACCTAACCCTAGCAAAAAATACTATAGTTAACTATAGTTTACTATAGTTAACTAAAGTTGACCGTAGTGATAACTTTGACAATATGAAATCTTTGATTTACTCTAATGATAACTTTGACACATTGATTTACTATAGTGATAACTTTGACACTTTGATTTACTAAACTGATAACAATGAAAACTTTGATTTACGATAGTGATCACTATGAAATCTTGATTTACTATGGTCGAAACTTTGATTTACTATAGTGATAACTTTGAAAACTTTAATTTACTATAGTGATAACTATGACACTATAGTGATAACTTTGAAAACTTTAATTTACTATAGCGATAACTATGACACTATAGTGATCACTTTGAAAACTTTAATTTACTATAGTGATAACTATGACACTATAGTGATAACTTTGAAAACTTTACTTTACTATAGTGATAACTATGACACTATAGTGATCACTTTGAAAACTTTGATTTACTATAGTGATCACTTTGACACTTTGATTTACTATAGTTAACTATTGTGTTTTTTTTTTGTTAGGGAAGCGCGAGTATCACCGTGTATATTTTCAAATCAATATATCTCCGTGTATATATTCAAATCAATTTCATAGTTGGTTAAGAAAACTACAGAAAATGTAAATACATGTATATCGAAAT